GCCAATGTACCCGTGCCTTGGGCCGGGATACGTGAGGCCAAGTTGATGACACTTGGCTGCGCGGCCGGTTGGGGCATGGGGGCCTGCTCAAACCTCGGTTCATGCCCCCTCAGAGAGCCTCTGAAGGCATCCCCCGAAGCTCACGTTTAGGTTTAGGGTTTAGGGGAAGCAGTGCCCCCTTTTATGTTGCACCCTTCCTGCAGTCTTTGGGTTCCGGCCGATGCGTCTCTCGGACTGGCCCGTCCTGACATTCATGCTGCTGCTTCTGACAAGGAGAATACACATCTCTTGTGAACGAAGTGAGCAAACCGGCGACGGAAGAAACGATAAGGAGCCGATAAGGCATTCTCTTCCTGCCTGGGGTCAGTGTCGGTCAGAACCACGACTGAAAAGGCATGCGACAGTCTTAACCTGCCTGAAACCCACTCAGCCTGCATCCAGGGCGACCCAAGAGCGCCAAGAGTCTCCAAAAGACGGCTGGCCTCCAATCCGCGGCGGCGGCGGTAGAGCTTCTCTGCATGCTCCAAGCGTCCTCTCTCCTGCGTCGTTGGATCTAGATGCTTACCACTCGAATAATAGCTCTGCAATGCCTTTCATCTCAACCGGCTGCAAATAACCCTAAATTACTAAACCTTAACGTCCCTGAACTCTAAACGGCAAGAGCCTTCGCTCATTTAGGCCTGTAGCACGCCAGATCGTGCATCGACTGCAGCGCGTCTGGATACATCTCGCGCAGCCTGGAGACTGCTTGTGTAGTTCTTTGCTTCGAAACATATCATTTACAGTCATATCCCAGTCGGAGAGGCTCTGTCTATCAACTCCCGACGAGCATAGAGGAAAAGAGAGGCCGTCCAGTTCGTTCTCCGGTCGTCCGGTTGTGATGGGCATTCTCATGTCGAACATAATGCTGTCTTTGGTCGGAAACTTCAACTACAATTCAAGCACAGCATGGGCATTTCCAAACCAAGGAAATCACACAGTGTTAGTATCGACACCAACCAAACCAGACGACATAACATCGTTAAGTAGCCCAAACACACACCCGATAACCTGATCAGGCCGCATCACCAGCCATCACGATGTTTTGTCTGCACAATGCGATGCCTGGTATGTGGTCTTTGCGACTGTACACATGTGGCACACGTGGTTCCTAGAGCTTGATGTCGATTGCCCCAGCAAAACAAAATCTGCAACAAAAACTCAAGTCGGCATTAACCATGACCCGTGCGAATTGAAACCATGCCGAAGTCGCGAAGTCGCCCCTCATGCTCCTCCGTGTGGGGCGGGTTGTACTTCGGCCATCTCCCCTTCGGTCTTGGCAGGATCCTGCATGTCGAAATGTTCTTTTTCTTCGTGGGGCATCTTCGCCTTTTCAGGTGCCGGAATAGGTCCTTTGCCTAGAGCCTTGCACATGGTGGCGAAGAGCTTCTTGGACCTCCGGTCTTCCTCTGCTTGGCCTTCGTGCGCCCGCTTGAGCAAGCTGCGGGAATCGCGGTTCTGCGGGTCCAGCTCGACGAGTCTCTTGCAATCCTGCACGCAGTCCAAGAAGTTCTTCATGCCGAACTGGGCTTGCGCACGACGGAGCAGCGCCTTCAGGTTCTGAGAATCCTCCTTGAGAACGGCATCACAGGCGCGCTTCGCCTCGAAGTGATCACCCAACTTCAAGTAGCAGGCTGCCTGGTTCAGCTTGCAGAGCTTCTTGAGCTCTTTCGCCTTGGCCTTGTTCTCCGCTTTGAAGTTGTCCACATAGTCGAAGAGCTCTGCCACCTTCTTGTATCGCTGCAGCGCAAGGGTAAAGCGGCCACTCTTGAAGAGACTGGTGCCAACTTCCTTGCGCTGAGCCCCAAATTCCAGCTTCTCCTCCTCGGACATGCTCCAGGTTTCCTTGGTCTTCGCGAAATCCTTCAGCGTCAGCGTGAACCGAAGCGTGTCAGCGTCAAGAGAGCTGAGCCCCAGCTGGGCTGCTGCCGCCTTAGCCTTCGATGCCGTGAGGATGGCCTTCTCCCCCTTAGCTTCTTCATCGAAGAAACGGCACACTCCAGGGCGTCACAGACATCTCCGTTTCCTAACACGAACTCCAGGGTCTTGGCCTGGAAGCCGGACAAGCTCTGGCCCGACGCGTCTGTGGCAGCTTCAACTTCAAGCGTCACCTGCGCCCCGTCCTGGGGCATCTCGTAGCCTTCGCCCTCGACGACCTGCTTCTTCATCACAGATCTGTTGGACTCGAAGGAGACATCCGTGGTCTCATAGATTTGCGACAGCTTGATGGTCACCGTGGCACCATCTGGGCTACGATCACCATATGCGTAGTCCTTGGAGCACTTCAGCTGGACCTCCTCACCCACCTTCATGCTTTGCAGGGCCTTGTCGCAGGCCTTCGCAATGGGGCCTAGGGCTGAGCTTTCGGAGCCCAGAACATACTCTAGGTCCGTGTGCTCTTGGAGGGTGCCGTCGCCCGCCTCCGCTTTCACTGAGGCGAGCACCTCGCTGCCGGGTTCTCCAGCCGGAGCCCTCCGTGACTCTTGTCAGAATCACACCCTCATCTCCGAAGAGATCAGACTTCGACCTCCAGCTAATCAGTTCCACCTCGAAGACCAGGGTGGCATTCTCCGGGATCTTGGGTGGCGAGCCGTTCTCGCCGTATGCGAACTCTGGCGCGAAAGTGAACTTGGAAACCTCGCCTTTTTTCATGGTGGCCACGCCCAAGTCCCAGCCCTTGATGACCTCGCCCCTTCCCAAGGTGAACACAAAGGGCCGGCCGCGAGACCTCGAGGAGTCGAACTCGCTGCCGTCGGACTGCAGGGTGCCAACGTAGTGCACGGTGACTTCGTCCCCTCTTTGGGGCCTCTTCCAGCTTCCATCAAGTGCTGGGGTCATCACCTCTTTCTGAACGCCCTCTGGCAGCTCTATGGGCATGTCTCCCATGTCGTCGTCGGACATGGCATCCATCCATATCCATGCCAGTCTGGGGCAGTTCCTCGTCCGACATCGACATGGCTGGAGGACGCGAAGACGCTGGAATCTAGCAGCTAGCAAACCCTTTGATGGCTCGCCAAGGCCGACTTGCTTGAGCAGAATCGGCTACCAGGTCATGTCGTTGCAAGTATACGGGTCGACCAGATTCTGCAGCCGCAAGAGATGTCGGGCTGTGCACAAACCATCCAGGTCGTGGCCGTGGACGAGTCTCAAAGCCGTGATGGGTAGCTGGACCAGCACGGGTTTCCACAGACAGTTGATTGTTGGTGAGATTTGCAGCTGACTCGCGGCACTCGCTGAAAGCCCCAGCCACTGGAATGCAAAACCTGTGGTGCTTCCAGAGCCATCTTCGAGTGTAAGGCTCGCACGTGTCAAGTATGAAGCCAGGAAACACCTCACCGCGTCGCAGGACCTGGAATGAGCAGACCAGCCCATGCCAAAGCAACCACAGCAGCAAGCCGCAGATGTCGCGAGAGAGATCGCTGCCTACTGCTACAGTCACTGACCAGCCCGCCTTTTTCTCGAAACAACGCCACTTCGCAACAAACAAAGGATCGGTTCGAACTTATGGGCTTAAGCCGACCCCGTCATTAGGTGTTTGCGGTTCATCAGATTTCTCAACCTCGTCCCCCCTCTTCCCTCATCAGGCGATGGCGATTGCCTGGGTCCTTCCTTCCTTCCGTCCCTTCGTTCCTTCCTTTCTCCTCGATTTGCTGAAAAGAGAAAGTGTCTTGCCTTGTGAATGCGGTTTCTGGCCGGGAAAGCTGGTTGTATCTGCATTCACTCAGGCTCCCGTAGCTCAGTGATAGTGGTGGTTGTACTACATATCTAGGATTTTTCCCATCTCGCATGGCTGAGATCAAAGCTCACATATCTAGGAGAAAAGGGGTCAGGGTTAGTAGCTCGACTTGCCATAGAGTCACACAGTGGTCCTACTGCCAAACCACAAAGCAATGCGCTATCGTCGCGATCCTCGTCGCGATGTGTCTCCCGGACTGACCCGTCCTTCGATTTATGCTGCTGCTGCTTCTAACCAAGGGCGCTTGTTCGAACCTAGGAAGCGCACATCTTTCTGCGAACGACTTGAGCAAACTTGCGAAGGCAAAACGAGAAGGCGTACACTTCCTGGCCGTGTCGGTCAGAACCGAGACTGAAATGAAATGCGTTCGCCGAAGATGCCTTGAACCCACTCAGCCTGCACCGGACGACCCAACTGCGCGAATGAATAGTCTCAGGAAAGGGCTGGACTCGAACGTTTGGCGTTGGAGCTTCTCAGCCTCCTCCGACTGTCCTCTCTCCTGCGTTGTTGGCAGGGATGGAATCAAGATGCGTGGTACTCGAAGAAGGCGGAGCGATGTCTTTCATCTAGTCCAGCTGATGCCCCAAACCCTAAACATCCTCATAGACGCCAAACCCCGAGACCGATCCATTCGCCGCTTCGCTCATTTACGGCCTGCAGCACCTTTGCCAGATCGTGCATCGACTGCAGCGTGTCTGGATGCGTCTCGCCCAGCTTTGCCCGACCTAGGGGTTGCTTCAGCACTTCGCTTCGAAACATACCGCACACCATTCTTTAGGCCCGGAGCCCTGATCTCGAATTGGATACCCTAAGTTCCCGTGTCTTTGTTCAGAACCAACTGAGAGTGCGGCGACCCTCCAATGCCTTGCGGAGCAGCTGCTCCGCCTCTGCATCGGATCCCCATACCTGCTGTCTACAGAGGCTGGGTCCTATGGAGGCGCTCTCGACCTGATCCTAAAACAAAGTAGAGCACGCTTGGCACAGCAAGCCTAGGCAGTCCGGCCTTTACAGCTGGATTTTCTGCATGTGTCTTCCACAGCACAGCAGCATACCTACAGTTAACAGCGGCCTACATTTATATCCTGTAGATACAGGTGCGAAGGCATAATTATCGACGGCTGGCTTTGCGGCAAGGGTCGAATTCGTGCGTGTAGCTGCATTTTCGGAGGCTTGCCCGATGCTCCCATCAGCGCCTGCAGCAACTTCCCCAAATTGTTCATCGTTGTCAGTGTACGCGGATGCATCTCGCCCAACTTGGCCCGGCCTCGAGAACGGCTACCGAAAAGCCCTGCTGACAACATACACACACACACACACACACGTGCGCACATGCACACATAGGATGCACTCCGCGTACTAGTGTTCGGCTCGAGTCAGGAACAACGTGCAGGTCAACTGCTCGGGCAATGCATGAACATCAACTTGTGAATGCTTCCACAACTGCCAATGCATGGTTTGGCACAACAGAAACATACAGATACCCTTACCAGAAACGGCAGATAACACAACCAAGCCGAAGGGAGGGCACAGGCCAGGCACTTGGCATGACGAGACTCTCACATGACATGACCGCACAGACCAAGACAGTGAATCAAGCACTTGCTCTTCATGGTAGCATAATAACACACAAACATACATACGTACGTACATGCATACAAACGTACAAACGTACAAACATACAGGCTTACACACATACATACATACATACATACATACATACATACATACATACATACATACATACATACATATATACATACATACATACGTACGTACGTACGTACATACATACGTCCATACGTACATACATACATGCATACATGCGTTTTAGTATTCCTTTTCATGTTCATGTAATTAGCACAGTGATCACCAAGCGCGGCTGCGACATCACATGCGCCACGATCCGAGACTGCGGGCTAAACCTGCTGACAATGCATCGGTTCGTTCGCCCACTGTAGTCATAGGCCCCATAGTAGTTCTTTTATGGGACTACCTTATTATAGGATTCTAAATATGAACCCCAAAAAGGAGCTACTATGGGGCGTATGGGTAGTCGTCTCAACCGTGGCCGTAGCCTCACCACATCCGAGTCAGAGCAATTTCTGAGGTGTCGGCAAGCCTCCAGCTCCTCGCGGTGGAGCGACTCGGCCTCCTCGTACCGTCCCTGGGCCTGTGCGCTTGCGCTTCTGGGAGATACACGCTGTATCCTAAAGTAGTGTAAGCCCGCCCACATCCACGATTCCCCAAAGCCACGCAGGCCCCAAAACATGAAGCAACTAGGGCCTCCGGCACGCAAACCCATGCTGCTAAGGTCTACCATTTTGAAATACGCAAGTAGTTCCTTCTTTAATTCCCTTCCCTCGGCGGCTTGCCCAAAACGCCGTCAGCGCCTGCAGCAAATTCGCCAAATTGTTCATCGACGTCAGTGCATCCGGGTGCATCCCGCCCAACTTGGCCCGGCCTCGAGAATACTTGCGGAAGAATCCCATCAAAATCAAAAACACAGCCCCACACACACACACAGACAGACAGACACAGATACGCAGACAGACAAAGACATACACACACACACATACACAATTTCACACCCACACACAGGCTCATGCTCGAACCTTCACAACCCGCACCTCCACATGAACTGCAGACATTGGCATTCAAAGACTCACATGATACAATTCAATGGCACAGCACGGACACGATGCGATACATCAGCACATGCTGACAATACATCAATTCCTTCCCGTTGTTTTCGCGCTTTGCGATTGCGGCCTCGACACGTTCAAATCAAGTAACTGCTGAGGTGTTGGCGGCCCTCGAGTGCTTCGCGGTGGAGCGACTCGGCCTCCTCATGACGTCCCTGAACCTGCGGGCTGTGTCCAGGGAGGCATATGTGCGAGGAATGGACCAACCGGAGAAAAGCACCTGGAGTAGTGCCTGGCTCCCAAATTCCCCAGAGCCGCAAGCACGAAACCCTTGACTAGCCCGATCGGGCCTGCAGCACCGAAGCCACATTGTTCATCGAACCCAGCGTGTCTGGATGTGTCTTGCCGAGCTTGGCACAGCCTCGGGATAGCAAAGAAAGATTGTACACCTGAGGGGTTCCAATTTTGGGTGTCGTAATATGGCATTCTGCCATATTCTGCCATACGTCATCTCGGAGTATCGTCGCCGTGTGGGATTCTTGCGTTCGGTGTGAGCGGGGCGTCTGGCCCCGCAGCGCGGCCGGCACGTTGCGATTCCGCTGGTGTGGGGCGCGCTTTAAACTTTCAGACTCTATGAGGCTCTCTCCACGGTCCCGTGCTCAGGGACCTGAGCTTCAGGGTACCGCATTTGGCTCAAGTAAACAATCGTGTCCTGCCTGCTGCAACTTCAATTGCTACACAACTGCGTATCCACTGCGGATACTTCAATGCCAACTGAGACTGCGACGACCCTCCAACGCCTTGCGGAGCAGCTGCTCCGCCTCCTCATAGTGTTCCTGTGCCTGCTGTCTTGCAAACGTGGGGTTGAGTTCGACGCAGGGCCCCGAATAGCACAACGAGCTTTGGAAGATCCACCTGGTCGACTAACAAGCGCTGACTAGTAATTTCAATGGTTCGTCAGCTTGCGGCTGCCTTCCAGTTGGAAACAGCCAGGCTTCTCTTCACCACCACCAACACCGCCAGCACCAACAGCAACCCATGGGCGTCAAGAACCCCATGACTGCGACTTGTGTATCGTGAAGACACATGTGCGCATGCATGCAGATTGCTTTCTTTGCAGCTAGGACCAGTCCATGATCGCAGTTCACTTTGGTCCCGATGGCTCGCTCAGTGCTCCCGTCAGCGCCTGCAGCAACATCCCCACGTTGTTCATGGATGACAGCGTATCTGGGTGCGTCTCACCCAACTTGGCCCGGCCTCGAGAACAATTGCGAAAGAAAAAAGCAGCCCCGACGACACGTGCAAGATGTACTTCGATGAGCCAGGATGTGCTTGGAAAGCTGGTCGTCCTTGTGATGATGTGTGGGCATGCCTAGTCAGAGGATCGGCTGGGCTGAGCAATATTGAGCAATGCTACAGAATTGCATTTTTTAAGGTGTAAGCCTCATCTTGTTACCTCTCTCTCTGACTCAGGGTCCTGATGGTCCAAAATTTGTATTGCGCTGCATCGACTTGTATACGGTGTGAAAAACCCATGCAAGTAGCGAAACGTTCACGAAAATAGCTAATAGTTGACAAGCTGACACAAGAAACCAACATCCTTCTTCCCAACAAAACAGAACTATGCTTCAATGACAACACGCTGCGCCAAAAAGCAACACGAGGAACCAGGAAGCAAAGCAGTCCGGGCTCGGGGGGGTGGGGGCCTGGCAGCCTCGCCACGTCCAAGTCCGAGCAACCTCTGAGGCCTCGGCAGCCCTCCAGCTCCTCGCGGTGGAGCGACTCGGCCTCCTCGTACCTTCTCTGGGCCTGTCCGATGTGCTTTTGGGAGGTGTCCGCGCGAGGACTTGACCAGCTTTTGAGTTTTCAAACCTGAACTTAGTGTGTAGGGTCCCAAGCACACCCACCTTCAGTATTGTCCAAACCCTTAATTGACTCGGGGCTCCAACACGACAGCCACAATCTCAAGTCAAGGCGATTGGTAGCTCCTCCCGTCGCTCCCTCCCGAGGCTTGCCCAAAGCCCAAAGCCCACGCCAGTGCCTGCAAACAATTTGCCAGATTGTTCATCGACGTCAGCGTATCCGGGTGCATCCGGCCCAACTTGGCCCGGCCTCGAGAACAGAACAGTTTCAAAAGAACCCCGTCTAAAACGCGAACAGACACTCACACAGGATCACTTCGCTGGCTTGAAAGCTGGCTTTCACCATCTTGGGATATCTTGGGGATGCCCAGGAGCAGCTCGGGTGTTCGGGCTGCGCAGTTTTTGACCTTCTGGGATGTACTGTCCCATATAGTATGCAAGCACCCATGCGCACGGTCTGCTTGGAACGTACTACATACAACATTCCATAGGAAAGCATGCACGAGCGCAGTCAAAAGCTGACTCCTCAATACCAAACGTTGATTTCCGTGATAATGACTTACCAAACTGTGTTTCAATGAGGCCCACTAGGAGTGCAGCAACAACAACAGCAGCAGAAGCAATAACGACAGAAATTACTAGGACTGTAACGGCAACACCAACAGCAGAATCGAGTGATCAAGTGGTTCTCATTTGCCAAAACATACTGTGTGGCATACAGGGCGTGTTGCTGGTGGCCCATATATATATATATATACAGAAGAG